GTCTACTTATAGGACTCAAAAATGAACTTGAGGGAGAGTCTAAAAAACTCTCTGCTTTGCCACTGGGATCTTCTGAAGACATAAATTTTGCTACTGAAGCGTCGCCAAAGATCTTGCAATATTTTTCCACTCTGCACAGTGCACAGTGGGGTCAGCCACAGCCAGAAGGGTCATTATTGCTGTTTTTCATTTCACACCATAGAAGAACCATCAGAAGCCTTACAAACTCAATTTGAGCAGAAACTGGTATAGTACCATCAAACAAAGTTATAACTTATAAGGGTAGTTTTGAGCATTCTTTTGTTAATAACTTCTTACCATCATACTGTCCATCAAAGATTTCACAAACAAGTTTGAGCTCATTTTAAAGCTCTTTGTGAGGGCTATCTAATCAAGACTAATGGCATCTTCAAAAAAAATCTATACGCTATTCGTAAGGTGCCAGATGCAAAATAAAAGCATCTCAAAACTCAAATTACCCCTTGGGGCTTGGGCCCTTGGAATGGGCAATGGGATACCTAATCCGGAAGCCCGGAACATTTGGAAATACCTAGTTGAAATAAAACTCAATTTAAAACATTTGAAGCATGCAAAGGCCAAAGTGTACTTATCTTTTACTAACAGTACTCTGAAGTCCTCCTCTTCCTTTGTAGATGATGTAGAATAAATGACATTTTTGTGATTTCTACATGTTTTTCCTTTATTGATATTTTACAATATCCATGCATTACCGTATTATTGATGTGATATTAATGATTTACCGTATCCATGGACTGTGGACATGTAACAATAATTACAATATTGTCACGGTGTCACCACAGACACCAGGCAATGGAAATGCGGGCGGTGCGGAGAGCACTGTAGCTATCTCATTAGCTAAGGAAGGCTTTCCACCTTGGATCATCATTGAAGTTGGGTGGAAAGCTTTTTTATAACCGAACTTCCATTCCTAGAATTCCACACTTAAATGACTTAATAAAAGTCCAGCCATTAACTTGACTGGGATTATTAACGCACATTGAATGCGTAGGTCATGGCATACTATGTAATGCCATGGAAATGACTTACCTTCAGTTTGATGGAGCTATCAGCATCAGGTGTGCAATAGGTGAGCACCAAACTCAGAGTTTGCTCAAGCCCAGCAATTGACGACAGCAGATACTGCAAGAAAAGAAATAATTACAACAATGTCTCATTAAGGTGAAGTTCAGGGGTGGCCACACACCAGGGTGAAAATTTTAATTTTCTTTTCTAAGATTAAACAAACTATTCGAAGGAACTCATCCACCCCTACAAAAAACTTTTTAACACTTTCAATTTGTGTATTTTTGACCATTATTCTGAGTAGAGTCTATGAAAATAACAGCTGAATTATATTAGCCTTTGATGAAAAAAATGTATAGGTATACATATATATCAGCTGGAGATAATTACCATAATTATACCATAATTATAATTATACCATACCATAATTATAATTAATTATGTCATTTTAGTTAGCATTTCACCTACGTAACCATGCATGTGCCACACACATACCGTGGCGTCCTGGGAGTCACGGTCCTCTAGAGCTGCTAGCACACACAGCAGGCAGTGCAGAGCCACTTTACGAGCGCCATCATCAACATTAACAATGGAGTGGTACTGCTTTACCATGCCCAGCGCTGCGTCTAAACCACTGACAGCTTCAGCATCAAAGTGCTGAACCTTGAGAGCCGCAAGCAAAGTCTGGAGTCCGGTGTACATGGCGCTATAGCACTCCTGGTTGCACAAGCTCTTCAGAGTCTTCAGGGAATATTTCAAGACGTTAGTGTGCTGGTGAATTGCACACGAGCTTAGCAGGGTTATCACGTCAATAACATCAGCAGGTAATATTGTTCCAGACTTAGAGATGTGAATCAAGACAGAGGAGAGAATCTGGTGATAAAATGAAACCACCTGCTGTGCTACATCATTTTTTGCAGAGGTTGAACTGCTTGTACAGCAGCCTTCAGTATTTTCAGATGAGGAGTTGAACTTTCCACACATTTCTGAGTTTTCACTTTTAGCTTTAAATGAAAAATTTGAAGCAGTCATTTCGGCAAGAGCCACGACTTTACTAAGTGAGTTGGGGTCACATGAAAGTAGAAAAATTAACGAGTGTTGTTGGAGCTTCAGAGCATTTACAGGGTCAGGGCATCGCAAAGAAAGGTTCCATGCTAGTTGATACATGGACTTGATGAAAACTGTTGACTCAGCATTAACATGACCATGGTTGATCAGCTGGCTGATGTAGGGGAGCAGCTGTAGTGCGGCGAGGAGTTCATCCTGCACAGATATAATAATGGGAGCTTTGCAATCAATGCAAAGTTTTCTAAGTGAAAATAGTAGTTTTCTATAGAAAAGTAAATAGGCAGGTGAATATAGTCAATACAATCTGCATAACAAATGAGCAACATTAAAATAAAACAAAATTAATATCTCATTTGTACATTGAACTTAACATTTAATAAGCTAAACCGTCACCCTGTGTCAGGTTAGCTGGTGTAAACCGATTGACAGGGTGTAAACCCTGTCAATTTAACATTTTAGAAAGAGAAAACATCAATTTTCATTCTCCATCACTGATCATTTCTTTGCTTGATGTTTATCTTTTAAGCATTATAAAGGGCAAAATAATTGCGGTTTCTGAAATATTTCCTATTCAAATTCAACAAGGGTTTGATTAAGTGTATTCTACTGTACTATTAAGGGTTCGATGTCAAGTATTTTCCTGTTGACACAGTAGTGGCAAGGAATGAATGTCAAATGGCCTCTCGCAACAAAGGAAACATGAAATCTTTTTTTTATTTCTTATTATATACAAGTCATTTGAATTATTCAAGAAAATATATCTGTTTTTAAGCTTGCTATTAGACTTAGTTCAGCCAATACTGAGAACTTAGGAACATACCTTCTTTGCAGCCACTTGGATTATGTAATATAGACTTTTATAATAAGTGACCAGGTTGAAATCTTTTGCTGATGCCAGCCTATTACAGGCCTGAGAAACAATGACGAGAAGATCAGGCCCAACACTGTTTTTGTCAAAAGCGCATCTTGAGCTGTAGCGCAAGACCTGCAGTTGCTCCTCTATGCTGCAATCCTGCAGGAAAAAACAAAGGTAAATAAATACATTGAACTTTCTAAATATACCAGTGATATTAATCAATAAACTAACAATGCAGATATAATGCAGCTTGTTGCCCCTTTTCAGTGCATTTTCTCATTTATGGAAAAAATGCACTATTGTGCTCGCCATGTCCGTCTGTCCCTGACTTCACGTTTTCGTCGACGAGAAAATGCGCTCTCTGTCACTCACTGCAGTGAGTACTGAGTTATATTTTTTAAAGTTGATGGCATCGTGCCTGTTCAGTCTTACAGGAAGACTGAGTAGACTGTCTAAATGTATCATTTATTCTATGGACACTGCTGGGCCCCTCCCTACATTGATTTCAATTAAACAATGCACATCAATGCCTATTGCTCATCACTGGCTCAGCCAGTGCAGTTCTCTTATACCCTATATACAAGATCAGAGTTGGAGTTATATAGTTATAAAACTCCAACTCTGTATATGTAGGTATATAGTTGCTCTGAACAGGGATTGCTCTCCAGCAATCACTGTTCAGAGCACAACACAACCAATCTATCCAGCACTTTCTGTGTCTCCTTTGCTAGGAATACTAGCAGATGCTGCTAATTTTTTGGCCTCCCTCCATTTCATTGGCACTTTACTTTATTGGTCAACTCTTCTACATCCCCAACACCTGAGCCAATCCTCGAGCATGTGCACATGTTTATGTGCACTAAAACAATAGAGCCTTGAAACACACTTAGTCAACAGCAGCCTTGTGAATTAGTTATCAATTCATGTCAACTGAGACATAGGTATAGTGATCACAGAACAATCATGAAAAAAATTGTACATAACTTAAAATTAAATTTGTTGCTATAGAGTATAGATACAATTTTCATAGATTAGATTTCAATATACACTTACAGTCTTGCAATTTTTCAGCTTCATGAGTAAATTTCTCAAAGATATATCATGCATTTTGAAATAAGATAAACAGAATAAGAACAAATGTCTATAATATTTATAGAATATACATTATGGTATTGCTTTTAGGCATTAAGTGGGTGTGGTGCAGTCTCAAATCATGTGTCATTTACAGTATACTGGTCAGCAGCTGAGCAAATTAAATAATTTTCCATTATTGTACATTTTATACATGACAATAAGAATTTGAAGCAGTCGATTACCATACAAAACAACAGAGATGAACCATAAGTGACAAACTCCACTCAGCTGATGAATCTGATAGTCAGCATAAAGAAACTACATTACCGTATACTAAATAATTTATTATGTTATAGGTACTCACCTTCAACTGCTCGGCCAACCCATTCAATTTGTCCGATTTAATGAGTGCTAACTTTGCTTCCATTTTTTCAAAAAGGAAACTTTATCATAATCAAAGTACTAAAAAAGTTTAATTTTTCTCTCTAAAATTCAATTAAAGGGGAGACAAATGAGGATAACTTGGTGAAAGTGCACTAACCAACACCACACACATCAGTCATCAGTCCTGAACAACATGACAGTTATGAGGTAGCACATATTATAAGAATATTTGGGTTCACAAGAAACAATGAGCTAAAAAATTGCAAATGCTATTATAATTCCTCTTAATAAACAAATGAAATCCAGGAAACATCAAGACATTTTTGAAAGTTTTGTCATGATAGTAGCAGCTCCCACTCCAAGGAAGAGGCTTGCTTGGGGAGGTGAGGTTAGCTGGTTGCCTTTTACAGGGTGCATACTGTATTGAGAAAAAAATTCCATGACTTTCCATGACCATCGATATAATTTTTCAAGACTCGTAACCGTGCATATTCTTTCATCTCCTACAGTTGATAAATAGCAAACGTGTAAATGCATAGAGCAGACAGACACAGAGTAACAAAAAATGACACGTATCTGAAAATCAAGCTCACACTGGTATTATTATGAATTCAAGTGTCAAATCACAACAAATATTGAGTAATGCCCACAAGATTGTACATGATAATGTCAATACAGTTTAGAACACTCTTCTACACCACTACTTGGCCACCACCACATAACCTCGACCCTACAGCTATGGAGCAACCCCCTGTCGGTGGTGTTGTACCTGCATGAGGGGGGTCTCTTATAAAAATGAGACCGGGGAACCACAACAACAACACCACTACTACTCTAACATTCAACTGGCAGCTATTTCATCAACTTTTTCTTCAATGTTCAGTTCAAGAGTATCTAGCTTTCTTTTCAAAGATCGCCTCATGTCGTTGAACTTTGTGGTAATTTTCAAATCTCCCTTTCTCTAAATTCGCTTCTGCATATTCATTTGCTGCTTGCTGAAGCACCTTGATGCCCTCCTCCATACACCTTTTCTTCTTCTTCAGTTGTTGTTGACCCTCCCCGCCTTGCTTCATGGCACAAGGCAGGGCCTAGACCCAGTTCTGGGGCCAGCCAAGTCGGTCGCCCCAGCGGGCCAGCAGCCCTGCGGCATTTACGGGGTCTGCCCAGAGGTCACCCACCGACAGGGATGTGGGCATTACAAGGCAGGAGAAAAGATGAATGGTGTCATGCGTTTTGGATAGACAGAGTGGGCAAAGTGGAGAAGGGTGTGTGGCAGGGTCTATTTTATTTAGATATGAGAGAAGCAGCGGTGATTTGTTTGTGCAAAGTTGGGCAAGGTTCCTGTGTGCAGGTCTAGGTAGGTTGATTTCAGATGGGTGAATCTGTGGTGTGGGGATGTTTAAAATTTTATTGTGAGGGAGGGTTGCAAGATAGTTTTCTGTGATTGTAGTGTGGATTGTTTTGAGATTTTGTTTGATTGTGTCCTGTGAAGCTTGTGCAGGCAGAGTATCTAAGTTGGTGGTGAAACTTAGATTTTCATGTTCCAAAGCTCTGCGAAGAGCTTTGGAACATGAATCAGTCTTGACTTTTACCCATGAAATTGGACAAAATCACAAATTACCATTCCTAGATATATTAGTGTGAATTGAAGATAATTCCTTTGTCACTTATGTTTACCAAAAACCTACTGATGTTGGGAAAGCGCTTAACGAAAAAAGTGAATGCCCAAAGCGCTATAAAACCAACACAGTGCGCGCTCTCATACAAAGAGCATTCAAGACCTGCACATCCAAGAGTGATTTGAAAACCGAACTCAGATTGTGTAAACAAATTCTAGTGAATAATGGGTTTTCAAATAGAACAGTTGACACTGAAATATCAAATTACCAATCGAGAGAAAACCGAACCAACAATGAAGCAATATCTAATGGAACCCCTACAACGGTCTTCTACCAAAACCAGATGAACAGAGGCTACAAAGTGGATGAACGAGTCCTCCAATCAATTATCCATGATAATGTCAAGAGCACAACGGATAATGAAAATATAAAACTTCTGATCTACTACAAAATTAAGAAAATTAAAAACCTTGTAATGAATAATAATCCCTGTAAAAAAACTGTGTTGCTTCAAGAAACTAATGTGGTTTATAAATTCTCATGTAATAAAGAAGGTTGTAGACTTCTTCCAAACATGAACTACATTGGACTTATGTTGTCAATTTTAACAACAAACAAACAAATAAACGCGAAGCTGAGTTAAGAAAAACGTGTTAATTAGTTATTTGGGGTAACACTTGCATGCAACCTTGTAAATAAGTTCGTGGCTTGTAAATAGTTCTTCATTACTCAGCGTAAATGGCTTTTCATTAAAAATTACCTGGCAACGCATCATGAAAATGGTTGGTGATGCTTTGGGCTTAAAAACCCATATATTGGCGACGCTGCTTCCACCCTCTGCACCCTGGACCAATGGCACATCTCAAGCAATGTGGCCTTCTTTAGTTCTGTGATTCAAGTCCGCTCGAAGGGTGATTACGTAAGGATCTTCCTACCAGGCTACCTGGGACCTGGGTTGACACATTAGCAATCTAGTCAACTCATATCCAACACATATGGAACACAATGCAGATATAGGTTGTGTGTACAGTGAGTGATAGCGCTGTCACGCATCCACATTCAAACTATTTTAGCCTTTTAGGAGTGTGCCACATGCCGCATTTTTATACCAGCATAGTATGGCGCTCCACGCAGATTTATTGACTATTTAAATTCCCATGCACCTGGCAGTCTAACACATCTTTCTAACCATGGCTTCAGCCAGCCAGGGCGCAGAGGGTGGATGCAGCCGCTTGCAGCGTTGCCAATATATGGGTTTTATAGCCCTAAGCGTTGCCGGGTAATTTTTTTAAGATGCATTGCCGGGTAATTTTTAATGAAAAGCCATTAACGCTGAGTAATGAAAAACTATTTACAAGCCACAACTTATTTACGAGGTTGCATGCACATGTTACCCCAAATAACTAATTTTACCCCAAAAACAGTCTGATTGTACAGCAAGTGTCAACTGAACATGTGATGTAATGCAGTCTGACCGCTCTAATGTGACCGCAACTATGATATCATAAGCTTGATGTTTACATTTTTTTGGCAGGAACTCATCGCAACTGATTTCCAGACAAGCTTCACTGCATCCTGATCCATCCAACATATCAGAAACCTTACTTTTTTAAATAGTTGGCCAAAGACTGACAAATATATTAAATGCAAGAATTTCAATCTAAATGTGTTGGCAAGATCTTCTGAAGACGTAAATTTTGCTACTGAAGCATCGCCAAAGATCTTGCAATATTTATCCACTCTGCACAGTACACAGTGGGGTCAGCCAGAAGGGTCATTATTGCTGTTTTTCATTTCACACCATAGAAGAACCATCAGAATGAATAAAGTAGGTAATATTGAACATAGGTAATATTGAACATGTATTATGCATAGATGTTAAGAATGCTAAGACTGCGGCGCCGTGTTGCGAGACCATGGGATAGGTTGTTTACATTGAAACGTTGGCGGTCAGCGTTGCAAGGGAAAATCCATTCGAAGGAATGTACTAGCGTCAGTTCCAGGGTTAGGCTTAAGTGTGCGCGACTCTAGCGTATATAAGGACCTCAGATTTTGCGCCAGTTGTTGTTGGTTCTACGACGGAGACCGTCACGTAACGGCTGCGGCCGTGAGGCCGCGGTGTTACCATTTTCAAACATTAACGGTCGCGACTTGCGGGAAACTCAGACTCACCGAGGCAGTTACGATTCCTGTGAGTGCGTCAAACATATACAATGGACGGCCACGACTTCAACAAATTATACGGTCACTATTTTCATCAGAAGATCTAAGTTTCGAGCTCCACACCAAAATCATCAGTACGATACGGTCACGATTTCCATCAAGAAGAAGCGGTACGATATTGTATTCATCTTCAACCGCCGAAGCACCGCATTTAAGCAAATTTCAATTTTTGTACAAAGCTTGGAACGATCTGTGTGTGTCCAATTCAAGTTGTGTCGGAATTAGTTTTCATGTGTCTAAATCCAACATCTCAACTTAATCATCTATTAATTTATTTACGACTTGAAATCAGCGAATACAAGTACCTATACTTAAAGGATTCCTAATATATTCACAGACGTATTTAAAAGTCTCAAACCATAATATTCTTCCTATAAAAACAGTTATTCACTATTTGGTAGAGCTAGGTCAACTATCAAATTTGACACTTTTTTTGATGATCTCACTGGGTAGTGTGCATTGTCTCTCTTTGGATCTCAATATTTTCCCGCTAGATGGCCAAGACCTAGTGTTTTGGCATTTGTTCGATGCACAAATGTATGACGACTATAATGACGTCACCATTTCAACCATCAACGAACGCATGGAACTAAAACAAAGCTTAATATAAAGGAAAAACTAGAGAGGTGACGGAATTACCCACGATGTCGGAATATACCGCGTTTACCCCAACTTCTTACCATCAAAGATTTCACAAACAAGTTTGAGCTCATTTTAAAGCTCTTTGTGAGGGCTATCTAATCAAGACTAATGGCATCTTCAAAAAATCGATATGCTATTTGTAAGGTGCCAGACGCAAAATAAAAGCATCTCAAAACTCAAATTACCCCCTAGTCTGGAAAAGTCCTATTTTTGTCTGAAATATCGCGGCTCTAATATCATATAATTTCAGTAGGTATGAAATCTCGCGGCTCTAATATCATATAATTTCAGTAGGTATGAAATCTCGCGGCTCGAATCAGGATGGAATTCTAAAATTTACAGTTCATATATTATTTTCGCTACACCTAGACCAGTTTTTCGATACAACATCATTTTAGGCAAAAAATTAACTTCTTATAGGCTTAAACACGTATAGGTAAAGGTATAAAAAGTTTCTATGAAGTAATCACTTAACTTGGAAATGTTGCGTGTCTGCAGGGCAGCTTGCACTCAACAATTAAAATTATAAAAAGTACTAGTTTGTTAAAGATTTGTCTCTTAAAGTGACAGCAAAGAACTTTTGATGTTTTTTTGAACCATGATGCACACAATAAACACGCAATTCATGGGACTGATGGGAGCAAGACTACACAGAACAACGAAAGTAAGCTCCCGGCATGCAACTGACAGAAACGAATGATGATCGCGGATGCGGCAGCACGAGGCATAACATTCATATGCTCAATGCAAGAGAATGATTAATTATGATATTTTTGATAGAGGTTTGAAATATTTTTGGAAGCCTAAAACGTGAACAAATTATTTCGTTACTCTGACATGGTGCACTGCACGTCACAGCACTGCACAGCACTGCACGTCACTAAGCCATACCCTGATGCGGTGCCACGTGTGCAGTGCAGCATGGAGGTGTGCAGCAGCGTGCAGCACTGCACGTCACCTCACGTCACAGCACAGTACGTCACTAAGCCATACCCTGATGCGGTGCCAGGAGTGCAGTGCAGCATGGAGGTGTGCAGCAGCGTGCAGCAGTGCAGAGGAGTGCAGCAGCGTGACGGTGTTGCTGCGCACGTCGCACGCGTCGTCAGGCTGCTGCTCGTCGCCGAGGTCAGCCGTCGCCGCCGTCAGGGACGAGGGAGCTGACGGCGGGTCCTGAGTAGACGGGGACTACGGTCAACTCTAGTTATGCTATTATGATACTATTATGATATGCTGCATCATATAAACTGTAATTATGGTGCTAAAGATATGATACTCATATGCTGCATCATATATGGTATGATTATGATATGCTGCATCATATATGATATGATTATGATATGCTGCATCATATGTATGATATGATTATGATATGCTGCATCATATATATGATATGATTATCATATGCTGCATCATATGATATGATTATGACATGCTGCATCATATATATGATATGATTATAAAGCAATCAATAAATGTGGCACGAGCCCAGTTATTTTTATTTAATATCATCGCTTATTGTTAATTCAAGTAATAATTATTCCTATGATTAATTGCTGAAATAGACTACAATAAATCCCTGCTGCTAGTATGACTTGTAATCATGAACCATAGCAAAATTTGTTCAGTCTACAGGACTGTATTCATATTCACCTGTGGTTTTGCCAGCATTTCCTGCTGCTGTTGTAAAGCAAATAGCAGCCAGCAATGCACCTCAGCGATCGTCTCCAGCCACTCAACTGAAACTTCCTTCCCGTCAGTCAACTCAGCAGGATCCTTCAGTTTACTTCTAGCAGCAGTTTTGGGTGGCTTGCCAAGACCCCTGGCCACTTTGGTGGCACAAGCATCATTTTTCTTCGGTAGATCTTGTTCTGAATCATGGTTGCCAGCAGCTAATGAGTTTTTCTTTGGTAGATCTTGTTCTACAGAATGGTTTTCAGCAGCCAATGAGTTTTTCTTCGTTAGATCTTGTTCTAAAGAATAGTTATCAGTGGTCAAGAAGTTTTTTTCACAGGAACTTTGAAAAGGACGTTCATCAAACGAAGATGTCATGGCGCTGCAGACAGGCACAGAAAACGACAGGACGGCGAGGGCAGGGCAGCTGTGCTGGAGCTGCCAGGAGCAGCAGAGCTTAGCGTTCTCCTGGCCAAGACATTTTGCTTTCTTCAGTTCCGAGCTGAGGACTTGATGTGAGAAGGACTTGGGAACGATGATTTCAGGCTTAAGATACACCACCTGCAATGATATACTAGAGTCAAAATTTAGCCGTTATTCAAGGTACAACTGCCTCCAGTTAAGTGCAATCAATATTGGACCGGAAGAAACCTACTGTTTGATAGTAGGCAGTAAATACAAGAGCTATCAAGGCGGTTAATCTACGTGTAAATACGCATCTGGTTTGAAATAGAAATCAGACGGTGCAAAGCAAATGGTTATGCACATCAAATTTTTCTGGCTTATTTTAAGAAGCAGCTGAATTCCAATTGAGAGTCATTCCTCATACGTTTATTTAGGCTGTTTATACCATTCTAATATCTTCAACCGTGACTGTGTGGAGCTACCTAAACTAATTCAAATACAAGCAAGCATATATATGCCAGCAAAACTGCACACAAGCTGTGGTCGAATTCCTTGAAAATGATGGCACTGCACATCAGCTATAAATCATAATAAGTATGCAACATAATTAATACTAAAAATGCACAGAGAAGCCAAAAAATACACAAATGAAAACTAGTGAAGCACACAGAAAGAAGTTGACCTGGGAGCACATGAGCAGGGACCATAATCAGTATGCAACACAATTAACACAAACAATGCACAAAGAAGCAAAAATTACACAAATGTAAACTGATGAAGCACACAGAAAAGAGTTGACCTGGGAGCACATGAGCAGGGACCATAATCAGTATGCAACACAATTAACACAAACAATGCACAAAGAAGCAAAAATTACACAAATGTAAACTGATGAAGCACACAGAAAAGAGTTGACCTGGGAGCACATGAGCAGAGATCTAACAAGCAGGAGTTTGGCGTGCGACCCATGGCACGCTGGCGTCTGCAGCTCACTGAGCGCCACGTGCTGTAGCTGCACTGCGCACTCCAACTGCTCGGTGCTGTAGTCGAACCTGTAGACAGTTGCAGTTACTGTAAACAGCCACTTGCAGTTACTGTAAACAGGAACAGGCACTTGCAGTTACTGTGAACAGGCACTTGTAATTACTGTGAACTTGCAGTTACTGTAAACAGCCACTTGCAGTTACTGTAAACAGCCACTTGCAGTTACTGTGAACAGGCACTTGCAGTTACTGTGAACAGGCACTTGTAATTACTGTGAACAGGCACTTGCAGTTACTGTAGTCACTTGTAGTTACTGTGAACAGGCACTTGTAGTTACTGTGAACATTTCTGTCAACACATGAAACAACTTCAGTCACACTTAATTGCCAAAACAACAAACTACTTGATAATCTTCTCAACAATAATACAAAAACATTAACATTTCCAATTATTCACTTAGCTATTCAGGCTCAAATAATAAAATCATGACCATATAATTCACCTTTTCAGTTCACCTCCAATTCAACCAGAGAAAATGTATATGAAAGTTATAAAATTTTGTACCAACCCAGCAGAGACAGCAGCATTGAACTCTCTACAAAGTATCTCGGCTTGCACTGAAGTGTCCGGCTTCAAGTGAGGTTGTCGGGCGATCTCACCGGCCACAACTGACCACAACACAACACCCTGCAGGGCGCTGCATTTTCCTTTCATGGCATCTTTCTTCAGCTTGAACCACTGCCCGATGAGAGCGTCATATGGAGGAGCGGTAGCCTTATTGTTCCAAGTCATTTCGTCTGCATAATGAAGCAGTTGATTTGCCAGTACGGTCGCTGACGAGCTGAAATTCTCGGAAAATCGCAGGGCATCAATCAACAATGAGCGTTTCTTGTACAAAGCACTCATGACTGAAGCCCGCTGTTGTGGCACAACAAACGTGTATGATTCCTGTAATGATATGCATGGGGCAAGACAGGCTGCAGCACCTCTGTAGTCACCAGCTCTGTAGCAGAGCACGCCCAGGTTCCCACAGTTGATCCCCAGGTTTTGGTAGTGGGAGGCAGAGTCAGCATCAAGAGGTAGCAAGGATCGCATATCAAGTTCAGCTTTTGAGCACCAAAAACTAGCTTTTTTCAAGGCCTCAGTTTTAGCAGTGTTGGATGATGAGCCGTTGTTGTTATTGAGGAGCAGCACAAGTGTTCGTAGCCAACAGTTCATTGCCCCAACAACCTGCACAACACAATTATTACACGAATATTTATATATTTTGAATTAATTTTAGTGATAGGTGCTTTAATTTCTTTAACCTTGTGTGAGAAATATTGAATTATTAAACAAATGCAGCATTTCAAACAATTTTGTTGGAATAAGAGAATAAAGGAATAATAAAATCTTACATGTTTGAAATTAGGTACTAATGGTAAACAGATTAAAAGTAATCAAGACTTGAACAGTATATGTTTTACTTAGCTTCGTCTCCCAACTAAAAATAAATATATAGGTTCTCATACTTATGAAATATGAACAGTAAAAGGAGAACATTTAATCACGTATCAAAGATTTATCCAACGTTGATAAGCTAACAACAAGCATAAGTCTATGTAATGCTCTCTAAATAATTCATATGTAATGCCATGGAAATGGCATTACCTTCAGCTTGTAATGCCATGGAAATGACTTACCATGGCATACTATGTAACACGAAAGACAGTCATGGAAATGTAAATGTACTATGAACATTTACATTTCCATGGCATACTATGTAATGCCATGGAAATGACTTACCTTCAGTTTGATGGAGCTATCAGCATCAGGTGTGCAATAGGTGAGCACCAAACTCAGAGTTTGCTCAAGCCCAGCAATTGACGACAGCAGATACTGCAAGAAAAGAAATAATTACAACAATGTCTCATTAAGGTGAAGTTCAGGGGTGGCCACACACCAGGGTGAAAATTTTAATTTTCTTTTCTAAGATTAAACAAACTATTCGAAGGAACTCATCCACCCCTACAAAAAACTTTTTAACACTTTCAATTTGTGTATTTTTGACCATTATTCTGAGTAGAGTCTATGAAAATAACAGCTGAATTATTTAGATTTTGATAGGAAAAATGCAAATCAGTTTAAGATATCAATGTCATTTTAGTTAGCATTTCACCTACATAACCTTGCATGTGTCACATACCGTGGCGTCCTGGGAGTCACGGTCCTCTAGAGCTGCTAGCACACACAGCAGGCAGTGCAGAGCAACTTTACGAGCGCCATCATCAACATTAACAATGGAGTGGTACTGCTTTACCATGCCCAGCGCTGCGTCTAAACCACTGACAGCTTCAGCACCAAAGTGCTGAACCTTGAGAGCCGCAAGCAAAGTCTGGAGTCCGGTGTACATGGCGCTATAGCACTCCTGGTTGCACAAGCTCTTCAGAGTCTTCAGGGAATATTTCAAGACGTTAGTGTGCTGGTGAATTGCACACGAGCTTAGCAGGGTTATCACGTCAATAACATCAGCAGGTAATATTGTTCCAGACTTAGAGATGTGAATCAAGACAGAGGAGAGAATCTGGTGATAAAATGAAACCACCTGCTGTGCTACATCATTTTTTGCAGAGGTTGAACTGCTTGGACAGCAGCCTTCAGTATTTTCAGATGAGGAGTTGGACTTTCCACACATTTCTGAGTTTTCACTTTTAGCTTTAGATGAAAAATTTGAAGCAGTCATTTCGGCAAGAGCCACGACTTTACTAAGTGAGTTGGGGTCACATGAAAGTAGAAAAATTAACGAGTGTTGTTGGAGCTTCAGAGCATTTACAGGGTCAGGGCATCGCAAAGAAAGGTTCCATGCTAACTGATACATGGACTTGATGAAAACTGTTGACTCAGCATTAACATGACCATGGTTGATCAGCTGGCTGATGTAGGGGAGCAGCTGTAGTGCGGCGAGGAGTTCATCCTGCACAGATATAATAATGGGAGCTTTGCAATCAATGCAAAGTTTTCTAAGTGAAAATAGTAGTTTTCTATAGAAAAGTAAATAGGCAGGTGAATATAGTCAATACAATCTGCATAACAAATGAGCAACATTAAAATAAAACAAAATTAATATCTCATTTGTACATTGAACTTAACATTTAATAAGCTAAACCGTCACCCTGTGTCAGGTTAGCTGGTGTAAACCGATTGACAGGGTGTAAACCCTGTCAATTTAACATTTTAGAAAGAGAAAACATCAATTTTCATTCTCCATCACTGATCATTTCTTTGCTTGATGTTTATCTT